AAAAAACACCCGTTATATCAGATGAACACGCTGGCCTGGGTGTTTCCGAATGTCTGCTATCACTTTTTCTGGAAATCTCATTGAAAGCTACTCTCGAACGACTCTAGAATTATGTGCAGGTGCACCATCGTGTAGTTGCAAACTGTCACTAGAAGCATGTTATCAAGAGCTGTCTTCTCTTGAAAATCAAATAATTAGATACTCGATTAGATATTTTAGTAAAAACAAACTGAACAAGATACGAAGAATCGCATACGATTTTCAGTAGGAACAAAACCATTAAATAAGGGAATTTTTTTCTTTCAAGAAAAATCCCCTAAAAAGTCATCCTAAAATACAGTTTTATGGCCATATATTCCATTATGAAGTTCATTTGAAAGCTCCGATGATTTTCTCTTAAAACAGCAACAGGGTGTTCATTTTGGGCTTCCTTTTTAGTAATTTTGTCCCATTAACCAACATTGTATCTCTTAAGATAACAGAAATTCGCGTTGAAAGGTCTGAAACATGATCTCATTGTTCTATTAATATTACAGCTTGATATACATTTAGAGGACTTCAAGTACTAATGGTGAAAAAAATAGTATGTGCTATTCATTTAGAAGTAAACGTAGGGATTTCCTATGTCTAGTATTAAACGAGAAAAACTCTGCTGAAGGACGCCAAATTTTATGCAACTAAAATAACTTCTTAAAACAATTGAAGATTTTGGCCGCGGTTTTGGCTTGCATATTTTTATTTTTGTTCGTGTACGTTCAACTGAAAAAAAAACTGGATATTGTCAATTGGTATAGTGGAGGTAGTAGTTTAAGGAGCGTAAGAGACTTATTTTTTGTGTTGATCACTTTAAAGTTAGTGGTTATTGAAATGCGATCCACGTAAAGACACCGTAACCACCGTCTTTCAGAAGAAATTAGACATCGGAAATCCCTATGTCTACTTCTAAATGAATACTACGTACATTAATATATAAGATTCTCAAGTTGGCTGTATCGCGAAAAAACGTGCACAAAGAGATGTCCGAATAACATCCGAAAATGTAGAAAAAATAGGGGGTTCCTATTTAAAATAACAAAGTTAATGCCTACTTCCCGTATTTATTACTGATATGAAGTTTACAAGGCCTTCTCTGGCCAATTTCTCTATATTTTTTATGTCCCTATCATTTATCATGGATAATGGTAATATGCAGGGTGTTCCTAAATATGATGTACATATGGAGAAAGCTATTTCTTTGGCTTATTACAGGGGTGGCCAAACAAGAGACATTTCTTTTTGTATGAAATTTGCGAGAGCCACACTTCCCATGATTGAGGAGAGGGGGGGGGGGGTCTAGGGTTTAGCAAAAGATTTATTTATCATTCTTTGTGGTTATTATATGACTCAAGTTCATATAAACAAAACCTTCGTTACCAATATACAGGGTGTTATAATTGCAGGATACAATTATAAACATATACATACAGATACTTACAACTTTAAAAATGCAAAGTGTAAAAATCAACAAAAATAAGAGATTATCCAAATAAATCCAGGGCCCATTTCACCATTTTAAAAAATTTACTTTCACATAATCGATAATTGAACTGTAATTTTTTCCCGATAACGGTCCAGATACGAAAAAATTACAAGAGGCCAAAAAGTTTCCAAACAAACCAGAAAACGAATCTTTCATTTTACACTGTCTGGCGCACCGAAAAAGTTCAGGCGCAGAAAATAGAATATGACCTCTGAAAAAAACATCACCCTGTAGAGTCTCACTACCATTGACATGACCAATGAGGTAAGGTTTTCAGCTTTTAAATGTGAGCTAAATATCTCCAAAACAAAAGACTTACAAAATCATATTAAGCAACACCCTGTATTATCATATCAAATGTATGCATATAATCAGAAATCTTGAAATTTAATCCAGTTGTTACGGCATCAATCATTTTACGTATACAGTATACCATTAAGAGGGAGATAGAGTAAAAGTAAAACGTGCATAAGTTTTACAACGTAGATATGCCTCTAGTATTATTGCCTATTACTGCTAGTACTATTTCTTACTCTGAGATACTGCCCGCATACTGCTTGCTTAGTGAGGTGTACACCTACCCTCAGTAGTGGATATAACCCCTCGGGTAGGGATATGAGTTTAAGCGGACAACATTATGAGTGTAGGGATCAGGCAATTGGCAATCCTATATTATGTAACTACGAGATTAGGTAGCATCCTTGGGTTCACCCCTCGGCTAACCGTGTATACAGTGAGTTTTTCTTACATGCGAACATACCATTTTTACAATGTAAGTAATATCTTCACTTAAAAAAACGCGAGTGTTGTACTTTGCCATGTCTGACCTAAGGCCCTTTTCTCACTTATTTTTTCCCTTATTGGAATAAGTTGATTTTTCTTTCAAAGAGAAGATTGAGGTAATTGCATTGTATGTCCGCTTTTAAGAAATCTCACTGTATGCATCGCATTTCCAAAAGTTACGCGATTGTTAAAATATTTATTCGTCAGTGAAATACCAATCACAGGAAAAACGACGTAGAATTGCACAAGACAGGCATGACGTTAGATAACTAGTATGGCGGCGTCTGTTAATATTATATAATATGTATACGTCGATTGTCAGCAGATTTTCAATGATTTTTCTGTGACTGGCGTGCGACTTACGGTGGATCTTCTACATACAGTATGTCCAGGTAGAACGCATCACAGGAAAACGGCAAATTAGCAATGTATTTTTTCGCGAAGGATCCGTACGAGGCCTCTGTCTCTCACGGTACATATTGTGTTAATGAAACAATCTTCGCGTTAAGTCATTCAATAGTCTACATCTGACAAGAAATCTGACCGAGTTAATTTCCATGGAAACAATAATTCACATTTAGGAAGTCATCTTTCAAATAAGTTTAACCGGATCATGAGACACTTCCTCACTCTTCAAATGCTAAAATAATACAATAAACTGATAGGGCTATTCAGAGGTAAGGTATTCAAAGATAATACATATCTAACTACTTGATAAACTATCGCTTGTAAGTATAATTGCTTTGAATTTTAATCTCGATTTTAATGAAACTTCATCTAAACAAGTAGGAAGTAATGTACGTAATTAGTTGGGCAATTAGATTACTAAGGGTCTAAGAGTTAATTTGCATAGAAACAAATGCATTCACATGGGATAAGTAGATACTCGATCAGATAGTTTACCTCGAGGATTTACCTAAAAAGTAGGAGACCGCCTCCAAATAATTTCAATATTACGTACTTATATTGTTTGCTTACTTTGAAATTACAAATTTTTATATAACAATGGAAATTATTCGATAAAGAACCTTTCGCACTCGATAATCATATATAAAAAGCATAAATGAAACAAGAACTTCAATACAATAATAGCTTTAGTTAAGAAGAACGCAACGAAAAGATGATGATAGCTTAGATGCATAAGTATCTCATGGTATAATAGTATACTCTCGAGTATACTATAATATGGATAAAATGAAACATATTTTTAGACTATCTGCTTCATAAATTTAATTGCCATTTATATCGTAAACACTTTTTTTCGTAAAAGAATACAAGTTATTGTTTTCAATTGAAGATGGCGCGTAAGAAGGGATGTGCATTAAAATCAACACGCTCATTATAAAAATTAAAAAAATAGGTCACAATAACAAATGTACGAAAAGTAGTTTCACATTTTTTTTGTGCTACACCTTCCGCGTCCTGGCGCATATCAAAAAAATTTCTCCATTATACAGTATGTACACTATAAAATAATCACTGAAACAAATGAAAAGACATCCACAGAGAAAAGGGCTCGGAAAAGGGTTTTTATTTTATTCCTAAAGCAATACATATTAATTTATTTAAGTACTGACTTGTATTTGCAGTTGCAGGAGATAGATAACGGGCGATCAAAAATGAGTTGCTGTCAAGTCGCCTTTGAAAGTTCAGGTTAAATACGAATTCCCCTGTAAACAAAAATTCCAAAGGTGACTCGACAGCAACTCGTATTTGATCGCATTGTACAACTGCGGTGGTGTTATTTATATGCTATACTTAGGGAGGTACAATGTGAAAATATGCATATGTCACGTTCGCCGTTTTTTCCTCGAATTTCCGTACGTATTTATAAACCCAAAAGTATGAATTAGATATTTAGGGACCTTTTAGATATCGACCAGTATCTTCACTCCTCATGAAAAAAGGAGTGGAAAAATGCCAATATCACTTTGCACGGTACAAGTAAAGATAACATGGGAAATCACTTGGGCAGTGAGCAGTTAAATCATTTAAAAACAGAATGATTTTGCTTAAAATTGTCCACTGCGCACAAATCAATAGTTTGAATTTAGGCAAAGAGTAACATCTTATAAGGCAGCTTCAAGAACGAGAAAATTGATTGAAACGCTCTCCCTTTGTCTTCCAGTCACCTGGAAACACTTCGCTTTAAAAGACCGAAAAATTAGACGTTTTGCAAAAATTGGTCGAAAAGTACTTCAGATTCAGTTGAGCAGACCTACACAACTGGCTTTGCGAGAGAAGATGGCTGACCGCGGTCGCGGTGACGTTCACTTTGTTCACTGATGAAGGACGCGCGGGCAGCAAATTCAAGAGCGATTACGTTTATGCAGCAGATGTTGGCATACACCTACCTGCTTAGTACCTAAAACACCTGATTATAAATTCCTAACGATTTTGAATGTCAATGCTGAAAAGGAAGAAAAATTATGGCGTTACGGACGAAGGTAATTAGCCTCTGGCTGGAATGCTCACAAAGAGTTAAAGCGAAACTTATCAGTTCTAGATTTTAAATCAGTTTCAAACAGGAAAACTTTGCCATTTGTGCCAAGCTTTAATGTGATTCATTTTATCACGCTACAAGAATGAATCAACGAAGCAGAATTTCAATACACCTACCTAACTCTTAATGAAAGAGGCTTACGTAAACAAACCAATGATGTTCGAATTCGAAGTGAATTGAATGTACTGTACTTACTTCGACATTGACGCATTCTTGAATGTTAACCATCATGTCTTGGCCAAGTGCTGCATCGTCAAAAATGGGTTTCAACGCACCCAACTTTTCCGTCAGACACAATCTACAACAGGAGCTAAAATTGCCCCACCTGCGTTCACTCATTTCACTGCGTGTTATTAAATGGCCACAATAAAAGTATTCACAGTTAGCTTGGAATTAACGTAATACTCGAGAAAAATAGTTAAACTGGATTGAAATTGCAAGCAATTTCACTTCCCGCAAGCTACACTTTCATGGAACAGAACAACGCCATGTCTGAACTCTCTGAATCGGTATCCCATCCCCACTACGTTAGACTCACCATATCCAAACGTTTCAATGGAATGGAAGCAGAACGGTGATCAACTAACCTGATTTTATATCAACCTAGCTTAAATCATTCCCAAATTCTGAATTATTAGCGTTTAGATCGCGTTTGAGAGTCAGAAATCGCGACCAATTAATCCTGCAGCTAAAACGCATTGGCGTGAAGAGAGGCTAGGTCATTGCTCATCTATCAGCATACTTCCTTGCGGGTTCGCAGGCAACGAACGCCAACACAATTGATGTTTCGATGTGAATTTCGTAAAACCTTTTCGTCCCGCTTGCGTTCTCGCCGCCTCCGAACTCTGAGTAAAAATAATTTGCAAATAGAAGATAAGCTGCAACAATTAATGCCAGTCAAATTAATGGGATTGAAAAGTCAATCTTCTGACTTTTGCCATGATCAGTAAAAAGTTCAGTGTTTTGTCCTTGTAAATATTGAGTAGAGTGAAAAATGTAGTTGGCCGTAAAGTAAACTGCGGCTTGGAGGAAATATCAAAAAAACCTCGATGATTTATTGGCCTAATTTAAAAATGCGCGTTCGAATAAAATGTAGTCTTTTGGAAGTAGATACCTACGAGTTAGTGGGTTTGAAAAAGGAAGCGGCCAAATAGATTCAGTACTGGTAATGAACGTGTTGTAATCAAGTTATCCGTGACTGCATCAGTTGTTAGCCATTCCTACTTGATACTTTCCACTTGTAGAGATGGGTGCTGTGCCTATACTATTTTTAGATTATTTAAAGGGATCTAAGCATAGATCGTTATTTGTCTCCCACTTGTAACAGTGATGCCATTATGCAAACTGGTAAAGCACAACAAAATTTGGAAAAACTGAGGAGGAAAATCTAATTATCGACATTGGTTGCGGGTTAACGGGTAGATTAGATTCAGTCGCCATTTGCAATGTCGATACTGCGGTCGGCATTCACAAAAACAGACAATCTAAGCGTCTTACACCATTCCTGTGTAAACAGTGAATGATTTTCGAAAGAAACAGACCACCAACGCCGGTTGCAACAAAAAACATTCAGCAAGAAGCTAACCTAAATCTGTAACCGCCAAGATGTCTAAACGCCATGCAGAAGAAACCACCAGCGCTGGCCAACCGGCTATTAAGCGAATTCACTTTGAACCTCACCTCATCGGCCCGGTATCGACATTGGAAGAAATGGATATAAAAGTCCTTCAGTTCCAGAACAAAAAACTCGCTCAGGTACACCGTCCCTTGTCCGTTTACATTGTACTCACGGCCCCTATCATTGTAGCGCATCGAGCAGCGGCTTCGCACCGAGTCCGAACTCCGACAGCGAATCGAACAACTAGAAAAGCGTCAAATGCAGGACGATGCCGTGCTGAACGTCGTGAACAGATACTGGAATCAGCTTAACGAGGATATCCGTGTTTTACTGCAGAGATTTGATGCAGAAACCTCGGATGAATCGGAAAACAAAAGTAAGTCTTCCCTTAACTGTTGTATGTTTATAATTGCTTCTTGTAGACGAGAATGAGGCAACCACCTCGTTTTTAACCCAACTGTCTACGTGGGATAAAGAGGAATTGGATGACAAACTGGCTAACCGTGTACAAGTTTCCAAGCGGGCCGTTGCCAAAGTAATTCAGGCTTTTGATCGTCTCATGCAGAGGAATGAAAAAATTACGTCGGTACTTAAAGGCGAATTGGAAGGACGTGAGTACGCCTAACCTAATTTTCTGTCTCGATTGAGAAATGAAATTGTCCGAGTCCTGCTATTCATTCTATTACAGAAACATAAGAGAGCTTAAAGGGAAACTGCCCTTTGATTTGAATTATCTGCCTTCCATAGTCTGACAGATTCATTGTTGCCAAATTTACATAAATGTCATTCGCTTTCATTGAAGAATTTTTTCTTATTGTCACAAAACGCTTGATTTTGGTGTCATTTATTGTCTAAAATTCTCCCAAAAGTCAAGACATTGTTCTTCCTAATAATTCACCTCCCATGCGTGAGCGATCTTTCAATTTAGCATTTGTTTTCAAGTTTACATTTTTTTTAGATGTATGCACAGGGTGTCTCATTAGTGCGTTGTCGGGTGATAGCTGCTACTGTCAAGTGATGCTACAAAAAAAGTTAAAATCGAGGTTAAAATACATTAATTTGTATGTACATACAGACATAGTGTATTCCAAACCTTGTTCTGTTAAATGCATACAGGGTGTTACATTTTCTTTTTCACCCTTTAGTTAGACCATGTTATATTTACATTTTTTTTCTTATTTTGACAAACACTATCAGTATTACCCCCTTAAATATCTGCATGACATTATTAAGACCCTGTACACATTTTTTTAGAAATTTTGACCACATTTTGAACACACTTTTAAGCCGCTATCAAGCACAAAATTAAAAAGATATTCAAAGAAATTATTAAAAAATTATTGAAAGTATTTCAAACCTTGTTTTGGTAATTGTATAAAATATTTTCAATGTTAGACTGAGTTTCTTCGAGTATATAATCAATTTTTTTCAAACGTCTTAATTTGCTAATTTGACTTCTTCATGAGGTTTATCTTTTATAAGCTGAGCACAATGAAGTTGAAGCTCAACTGCAGTGCCCTCCTGGTTCGGGCAGGGATTTTTGTAAATGTATAGTGCCCTAGTAAAAATAAAGACAACCAAAAAATATAGTCGAGTTTTTTATGTATGTATCTCAATTTTTTCAGCACTTTTGACCATTCCCTTATAGTCGGACACAAATTTGAAAGGTATCTGAAATTTGTTTAAATGAGTGTACCACAAAGTGCTAATGGTGATAGTGGACGTCTGAGATGAGATAGGTACATAATAATAAGAAAAAAAAAATTGATAATGAATTTTCCAATTTTTGAAATTGAATGTATCTAAAAGTTAAAGGATGAAAGTGGTACTGTACACCCCTAAATTAAAAACTATACAATTTAATGGGCGTTTATTGAACAGTAACAATGGTTCGATACATTACTCTGACCGTCTTGCTTGCATGTCGCATACTAAGGCCCCCCTGTGTGGGCCGCGTTCCTTCTGGCACCCCTGGTATAATAAAGCTGTCTTTAGCGAGCCATAATAAAACGTGACGTTTTTATATCTAACAAAATTTCACTTACAGGACCATCCTGTCATTAGTGCGTCCTCTCGGCGGTTTCTCGTGTTCATGCAAAACAGTGCTTTTTTGTTATTATTATTTTTTAAACGAGACTCGTCCTTTTTTGTTTTTTGAAATGGGTCCTGTCCTTTTTTTTTGGAATGCGGCCTGCCCTTTCTCGTTTTTTTTAAATGGAATTAATTGTGATGGGTGAGGTGTTGGTCCCTTGCTGTTTTGGTTTTTTTTTTGAAATGGGATTTATTAGAATAGGTTGATCATTGTCCCCTGCTCTTTGTTTTTTGAAACCGTAATGTTTTTGCGGCGCGAATTTCCCCTAATTTTTATTGTTTTTTTTTCATCATGATGTACTTTTTTTGTTTTTTCATTGGAATCTTTTTGTTTATCCAGGAATCATCAGAATGATTTTTATTATTCCGGAATTCTTTTTTGTTTTTTCATCGGAATGTTTGTTTTCTTCTCCAGATGCCTTCTTTAATTCCAGAATCAGAATGTTTTTTATCATTCTCGGATACCTTTTTTGGTTTTTTTTTCATCAGAACAATTTTTTTATTCCGGAATCATTGGAATATTTTTTATCATTCCTGAATCATAATTTTTTTGATCATTTCGGGCGACCTTTTATTGTTTTTTTTATCGGAACGATTTTTTTACCTCAGAACCATCGGAATGTTATTTTCATTCCAGAATCATCGGAATGATTTTATCGTTTCAGAATTTTATTCATAGGAATGTTCTTTTTCTTTCTCTGGAATAGTTTTTTCATTCCAGAATCAGAATGTTTATTATCATTCCGGAATCATCGGAACATTGCGGAATACCGTTTTTCATTGGAATGTTTTTTTTAAAATCATTCCGGTATCATCAAAATGTTTTTTCATTCCGGAATACCTTTTTTCATCATGTTGGGCTTCAAATTTAATAATATTTCATATTAAAGTATTAGATGCTCGATTAATTGTCTACTATCACCTTGTTCTAGCTAGTGGATCTTTCAATTTAAAAAAAAAAAACGTATACCTTGCCTGATATTAAAAAAATTTGCTGTTGTTCTGTTTTTAACTTGCAGTAGGCTGTTTGAATTTCTGTGAGTTTTTTAGAATTAAAATCAGTTTTTTGTAAACTCACATGTGTTTTCCAGAGAACAAGAGATATTGAAACATTAGTAAGACCCTGTTATAGAATTAATTCTGAACAGGGTACTAAAAGTTTTTGGGGAAAGTAGACACATTGAAACAGCATATAAAATGATTTTTGATTGATTGTGTATCTTTGGCTGCTCGAGTGCTCAATTTCACGTCTCGTCTGTATTTCGCCCACTTCATACATTAATGGTGCCTCAATTTGATTTAAGAAGCGTGAACTTTCAGAGGAGGCTCCGACAATAGACGAAGTTGTAAGAAACGCAAACATCGACGCACAAGCTGAAAATCGTAACTTACAAGCTTTGAACACCTCTCTACACGAAAAGTACCACACCATTAGTTTAAAAATGTCGGAACTACAAGATTCCGTTACAGCTAAAGAGACCGAAACGGCCGAATTAAAGAACCAAATTGACGATTTGCAGTATGAATTGGAAAAAGTTCGTTGCCGCAATGACAAATTGGAGAATCATCTTGCAGAAGCGATCGAAAAGTTAAAGACGTATCATCAGCTACATGGAGATCAAGAGAAAGATACAACCCAACAGGTCAAGCCAACTATTCAATCTGGCGTTTCTCAGGCTAAACTGGAGGATTTAACTAAAGAAGTTGAGGAGTGGAGGGAGTTAGCTAACAATCGTCTGCAGGAATTGGATAAGTTACACCAACAGCACAGGGAAACTCTCAAGGAGGTGGAAAAATTGAAAATGGATGTAGGTGAATGTACACTTTTATGTTTGTAATTATCTTCTGTTTCTGTTTAGATTCGTCAGCTGCCCGAAAGTGTCATTGTTGAAACCACCGAATATAAATGTCTGCAGTCTCAGTTTTCAGTACTTTATAATGAGTCGATGCAACTTAAGACGCAACTTGACGAAGCGAGGCAGCAATTGCAGTCGAGCAAAAACGCGCATTTACGTAACATAGAAATGATGGAGAGTGAAGAATTGATGGCTCAGAAGAAGCTGAGGCAAGAGGTCATGCAACTTGAAGATCTCTTGGCGCAGTTGCGTAAGGAGTACGAAATGTTGCGAATTGAGTTTGAACAAAATTTGGCTGCCAATGAGCAGACTGGGCCGATCAATAGGGAGATGAGGCATCTTATTACATCACTACAAAATAATACGACACAATTGAAGGGGGAGGTGCATAGATACAAGAGGAAGTATAAGGAGGCCAATGCTGAAATTCCAAAGGTAGGAGGGTGCTTTTGTCTTATGTAGGTGACTTGGTTTGTTGTAGCTACGAAAAGAGATAGAAGAGTTGAATACCAAATTAAGCGTACAGCAGACTGCTTGCCAAGATAGTAAAGAAAATATTAAGCAGGAGATTAAGGAGGAGGAAAGTACAAGTGGTGAAACTATGCAGATCAAAGAGGAGTCTGCCAATGCCTCTTGTATCAAGAAAGAAGGCGAGGAAGAGGTCGAGGTGATTATATGACCTTCATAAAATTGGGCGTCGCTAACACTGCGCGGGCCCAATTTGACCACGCCCAGTTAGCGTCGACCAAGTGTCTTAGAACATTATTACTCCGAATCTGTTTGGTTTTTCACAGGTTACAGAAGAACAAGAAGGTGATAAAGACAAAGGAACGGGTGCCTCTTCATCGCCTACGTCTAAGAAAGACGGAGCAGTGAAACAAGACAAAGGAGCGGTAAAAAAAGACCCGGGAGTTAAAACCGACAAAGACCATCGCGACGCTCAGAGAACCAAAGAAGCAAAAATTTTGGAAAATGAAGTGATACGAGATCTGAAAGCACAGTTGAAGTACATATGTTTCCCATGATTGTCACAATCACAACTAACTTTTATTTTTTAGAAAAGCGTTAAACGAACAAAAAGAAATGAAGCTTCTGTTAGACATGTATAAGGGAGTCAGCAAAGAACAAAGAGATAAGGTTCAGTTAATGGCAATGGAGAAAAAGCTTCGTGGGGAAATAGAAGACATGCGACAACAGCTTAAAAAGATGCAGGTAATTATTCCAACACATTCTTTCCATTTCACTTATTCGTGCGACAGTTCTATTTTCAGGAGAGCAAGAGAGAGGAGAGAAAGAAGTTGGCCGACGACGAAGCGCTACGCAAAATTAAACAACTGGAAGAGCAAAAGTACGAGTTGCAGAAACAGGTTCAATCGCAGAAACCGATTGAGGGCAATTGGCCCAATCATACTGCTTTGCACCAAATGCGGCCCTTCGTGGGATCACTCGAGGAGGAGGCCTTGTTAAACGAAATGGAAGTTACAGGCCAAGCGTTTGAGGACATGCAGGAGCAGAACTCGAGACTGATTCAGCAACTTCGCGAGAAAGACGACGCGAATTTTAAGCTTATGACCGAACGTATCAAATCAAACCAGTTACATAAGCTAGCGCGTGAGGAAAAAGATGTACTTAAGGACCAGGTTGGCACTTTGACTACACAAGTTGATTCTGCAAACGTTGTTGTACGAAAATTGGAGGAGAAAGAACGAATCTTGCAGAATACGCTTGCAACAATTGAAAAGGAATTATCTTTGCGACAACAGGGCATGGAAATGCATAAGCGAAAAGCCATAGAATCTGCACAGTCTGCTGCTGATTTAAAGTTACATTTAGGTAAACAAAATTTGACTTAATTCAGTAAAAATTACACATTTATAAACATGTCAATTAGACCTAATTGTTACCTCATCTAACAATTAGATCCAATTGAATCTTCTATCGTCCACTTAAGAGTTAATTGGCATGTCTATTGATCAAGTCAAAGTCCCTGTCAATGAGCACTATTTCACAGATTATTAGTTTGACACATGCATCTGTCAGTAAGAGCCAATATGGACACATCTAGTTCTTCTTTTCTATAAATAATCAATTGTTTTGTTTCACTTCTTTTGTTATCACTTCTATAGTAGACTATTGTGATGCTAAAGTAAACGAAGAGGCATTATGCTGTATACCAAAATTTCTATAAAATTTGAACTAGTCTATGCTTTCTATTATAATTGTAATGTATAAAAAACAGTCTGGTTAGTTACACCATTTATTACACTAATACAAGAACGGCTGGAACGATTTTCATGACCTTTGAGATATTGGATTTGTCTGCTCCCTGAATAGAATAACTTAAAACATGTTACAAATATATGTTAGATTTAGATTAACTACCTACTTGAAATTCTTTATTGTTACAGAAAAATACCATTCTCAAATGAAAGAAGCTCAACAAGTAGTCGCCGAAAAGACAAGTTCATTGGAAGCAGAAGCCTACAAAACAAAACGTCTTCAGGAAGAAATAGCGCAACTAAAACGTAAAGTGGAAAGAATGAAAAAGATGGAGATGGCGGGCACTACCCTCGACGAGGTGATGATGGAAGAAATTCGGGAGTACAAGGAGACCTTAACTTGTCCATCGTGCAAAGTGAAGAGGAAAGACGCAGTATTATCGAAATGTTTTCACGTATTTTGTTACGATTGTCTCAAAACCCGATACGAAACTAGGCAGAGGAAGTGTCCCAAGTGCAATTGTGCATTTGGTGCGAATGATTATCATCGTCTTTATTTGTCCAATTAATTTAATAGTTAATTTAAATTACTTTTTTTAATTTTAGTACCTACTATGTAACATGAAACAATAAAAAACATTAAAGTTTACCCAAGTGTATTTATTATATGTGTATTTGGATATGAGGAAAAAGGGAAAAAAAACATTAAAAGGAATTACAACTATAATACATGTACCTATATACATTTATTAAGACAGTTTTTTTGGCCATGTCGCAAGCTTTTAATATTTGATAATCTTAAATGGCTTGAAGTAAAAGATCGAAATTAGAGCATGGAAAAGGAATTCTTGTGTTGGACCTTCTAGAATTAAACTATATACAGATTTGCATTTTGGGAGCGTTTTCTGTTAACTGCAAAAGCCATAACATTTGAAAAATTATTGCATGGAGTTATATTTGTACTTTCTTATTGTCATGCCTACTTCATACATATCTACTACCTATGATACCCTTTGTCCATGGTCCTTATAAACAACAGTAAGAAACTTGTTTAAATGTCCGTAACAGAACAAATTAAACTAAATCCATAATACTTTTCTGGGACATAACCTTAGACTTTTTCAGAATGGCGCCATCTCTACAGGTTTCCAAGCGGTACTTCCCACCCTAATAAATTAATTATTTATTAGGCATGATACGAAGGGTACGTAAAATTAATGTCACGCAAGAGCATTATCAAGAATAGAAAGTTTAAAAAAATAATCAAAAAAGGTGTAGGTCTAACTATGTTGGTATGGCTACTACAGAATTCCCACTCCCAGGTACGATCCCACTACTGTTCGACACGGGGACTTTTGGCTGCTGGGTTTCCCCCCTGGCCCGGTGCGCCCCTCATTATGCAACCTGGACACCCCAAACTACTTCGGGTTGTCCATATTGATGCCAAGCTTAGTGCGGGCACCCGGTCAACGTGGTAAATACTGCACTAGGACTCCACACCTCAAGTCATCCTCTACACCCGACCCCCTAGAAGCTAGGTTACAGGAGTGCGCCACGCTCCCAGTCGAAAGATTCGTTTCTTTTTTGGCATAATCGGTACATTTTCATGTTTTTTATAATGTTATATACATGAATTTTCATAAGATTTTAGATTTTATACAGTAATAGAGAAACGAAAATACATATTAATATAACTAGTTTTCATTTATCGTGAGCACGTATCATCTGTGGTGTGTTGGTTGCCTAAGTTACAGTAGATGTGATCCGAGAATATTCGCACTACAATGCCCAAATCACACGTATGCCAAAAGTCCAAAACATGGAACCTTTGAATATAAAATGTATATTACATTCAAAAGCTGTAACGTTAAAGCATAGTCTAGCTAGATACAGTATCTAACTAGGCCGTGGTTAAAAGAGTACCGATACCATTAAATTTACCTATAATAATTAATACCTACTAGAATGTCTGAGCTCGCAGTTTGTTTTTTTTCCTTTTGAATATATATTTTTAAAGCATTTTTTTCAGAATGAAAAACAATGTGCGATTGTTTGCGCTTTGTCCGTCCGTCCGAACCCGCTTCTGCCGTTTTGAACTACACATACTTCTAAGGGAATGGTTCTAGAGTTCTGGAATTTTTTTCCGATGAGTAGCGTCACGTCATACTTATTCAATGGTAGCGTGCACCTTGAAGGTGTGCCGCAGACCGACATCAAATTTCGCTGTCTCAGTGGGGGGGGGGGGGGCATGAATTATTTCATTATTTCCTCAGATGCTGTTTTTGAAACGAAAACGTGCATCACTTTTACACACGACAACCAATTGGCTTCACTCTCAGATTTTGCATACGCATGCCTTGATGCCTTTAATGGTGCTAAGAAAACATTTTGAAAATGGGGGGAAGGGGGTCAACATACGTTCGTTCTACCCATCACAGTGTTCTAATGAAAGGTCTCATCGTAATAAATTACTTTGTATATCTATATTCAAAGGTACAAACTTTACAATGTCCGGACGAGACATATCTATTGCTGGTGATATCAAAGCTTTAAGCGCACATAAGAATGTATTTGCAGAATGGGGTGTCGGGTGATTTTTAATGTATGCCAGATGGCCTTTAAATGTTGTGTAAAGAGCCTCCTCCTCATTAATCATACAACAAGAAAGTAAACATCGATAGCATGGTACCAGTGCCGTAACTAGGAATTTTTCGAAGCGGTGCTGGATCAGGTTTTGGCGCCTTATCACTTACCATTAAGCTCTAATTAATAAAACACCGTACATTTTTGAGAGAAACTTTACACGAAATTTTAAAAGCACTGCGCTACTTAAATTTTAGAAAAATGCTTTGAATAATGAAGTCTTTCACTCAACAAAGAATAGAACATTTATTTATATTGTTTCCAATTCTCGCGTCAAATTTAGCTATGACATAGGGTACAAGTCGTAGAAATGATTGCGTCTTAGAATAAGGGTGCAAATGCTGGTCACACTAATACAGACTATTGTATAGATCACAAATAAAGTATTATTATTATTAGTTTAAATTTGCAGCCTTTTCCTACCGCTGTAACTTTGTTCTACAAGGGCGATTCAGAAAGTAGCAGACGGTTTGAAATAAAAAGTTAAGAAAGTGTAAGGAACAACTTTTATTACATACATTTGGAAGCTACACTCTTAGGCTATTTTTCAACAAAGTCGCCATTCATATTGAGGCGCATATCATAGCGTGGTACAAGTGTTTTGATTCAAACTTTGTATACCTCCGCCGTCTGTGGGGGCGTCAGAAGTGGGTACCGACAAAGGGAATGTAGTAGGCCCCTGACAAGATCTTATTGATTGTGGTGTCAAAACTGGCTAATAAAAGTACTGATCTGCCATAAAAATGCGCTGAAATCCCTTGCATGTTCCGTTCATCCTAAAGGACCGTAAATTTAGTTTTAATTATATTTCACTGCACCCTGTGTTCGTCTTTAGCAAACTATTAGAATTTAACAGTCGTTCTTGTCTTTTATGACTGGCCTATACGGTACACCGCGATGCCCATCACGACTTAGTGCCCTCGGTGCTTCAGCGCCTTCGGCGCGCCCTCCCCCATCCAGAGCGCGGTGCCGCGGCACCTTTGGCACCTACCTATAGTTACGCCACTGCATGGTACTACCTTATAACCCAACCATTGACTAAGCTATTTCGGTTTTAAAAAATGCGCTTTATCTGCACAAGAGTTGTGCACAATTTATACCTACTTGTTAATTATTATTTAACAGGGACAAATTATTAATTATAGGCAATTGGTGCTAAGAAAACATTTTGAAAATGGGGGGAAGGGGGTAAACATACGTTCGTTCTACCCATCACAGTGTTCTAATGAAAGGTGACCTATTGTAAGATTACTTCCCCAAATTGGTTAGGAGATCTACCCACCTATCACCGTTGAATTTAGTTATAAATTGCAACTGCGACTACTTATCATAAGTAATAAAATATCATCTTCTGAAATAAGCAATTCGCCAAATGAGTTAGGTAAACTAATGGGATACAATTTGGTTACAAACGCAAAGAACCAAAGACATTTTTGAGCATTTACCTACACAATTATTTCACCTACTGAATGTTGAAATGATGACGCAATGTAGCTAGGGGTGGCTACGGCCTATTTAGGCACCACATGCCTACTGTTGCCAGGGTTACCATTGATGCTCCGCAATCGATTTAAATTTGTGTACATGACGAAAAATGACGTAGCCGTGATTCAAAAACCGTTACAAATAAATATAAGATTCAGATTATTGTAGGCGGTTTGTGTGTATTTTTAAAAATAGTTCCTTAGACTCAGTCATATCGACATTTCAATTATTGCAAAGCGCACAATTTTCTCTTTTCAAATTTAGAATAACCTATCCCAATTTCCCCCATCTGAAACCGTACTAGAGAAGGATAACAGTAAGCAACGTGCGCACTGTCCATCTATTAGGGAGGGTTCCGTGCAGCCCCCGTTTTTCCCACCAAGCAAAACAAGATTGCATGGACTGTGTAGCGAGCAGAACGTTACGCGGCAAAGGCAGAACGTTGCATTATCGTTCGCGCATTGTTTATTCGAAATAATTTATTGTAGTGCCTGTGCCCTGTTTGTGCGTGTTTAATTTTCGAGTGTGTACGAAATTCCGACAACGACTGTGTTATTTTGTAAACTAATTTTTGTAAGTATAATTCACCCTTATCCGTTGAACATAAATAACATTGTAATGTAGGGTTGTGTGTGTCCCAGATTATATGGGCTAATTATAAGCAAATGAGTGAAAGCGATTTGTTTGCTTTTATTGCCGAAATGATCAATGCTTCATCGGTAATGTTTGTATTGATTCTTTAATTTAAAGAGCACGTGTGAATAATAGGCGGTTACGGTCTAGCATTTTAATTATAACACGTACTAACAGCAGTAGGTGCAGTCGTTAGTAATTTAATGATCAGATGAGGGTTATTCAACTTTTCACTATTTCCGTATACTAAGTTTGTCAATCGTTCATACGGGAAATAGCGATAGGTACACTCATTTCAGGGATTGTCCTATCAATAGAATTTTGAATGGGATTGTTATGCAGCATTGCACATTTATTGATTACGATTTACCTGCACAAAGACTAGGAAGTAGGTAGGTACATATTAACACGCTTTTTAGAACATCTATTTAACAGGAAAGTGAAGCAGGAAATAAAGAGATTAATGCTAAGTCATTATTAAATTGATGTTTTGTTATTATGATGCAAGTATCATAATTCATAATATTTTCTTTTATATCTGTAATGGGCACATCACGTACAAGTCGAGGTACAAGTATACCATACGCCCCTTAACAAGTGAAATTGCACATTTGTGATTCCAATTTACACCAAAAAAATTATACCTACTGATATTGAGGAAGATATCTTGCATTGGGTCAACACCCAAGCCCAACTTTAACCAGCTCAACCAAATCATTCAGTTGTGTTGTCACTTTCTTGTCATAGGTAGGTTTTTTAAGAGTGATGATTTACTCCTTTTTTAACTGAATTGTTGAATTCGGTATCGATAGATATTTGCAAGTCGCAATTTACCAGCACAAATGAATGTTTGATAAAATTCCAAGGATACGGCGAACAAAATCACTG